CCTAAGCACAAAAATGTACTGGGGGCAGCAGTTTACATGAAGTCTATGCTTTTCCTGTGCGGAAAACATTCACACTTCTTACAGCAAAAGAGAAAGCCCAGGCCATCTGCCGTGCTCATTTAGCCTGCCTTTAGCCTCCACTAATGGGGCCAGGTCCACAGTTAGGTGTGTTCTGTGACATTGACTCTTTGCAGAGCCGTAGGCTAGTTACTTTGTAAACCACGAGAAGCATCCTATGCTGGGATTACCCACTGTTTCTTCTTCATGAGGTCCAGGCAGTCATGTTTGCCAAGAAAACCACCAAAGCAGATTTTGTTCTTTCTGATGCCTCATGTCAGGAGGCACATGATACCAACTGATCCTTTCACAACTGTTGTTAACTGTGAGTGATACAATTGGTATCTACCACGTTATATGTGATCTCTCCTAGGCATGGTATGTATGTATATATTTAAGTGGCTAGGAAAGGCTACTAAGCTACAGCTGTAAATACTCAGTAGAAGAGGTCCTGGCAGCCTACTTGGCACCTGAGATACCGAGTTCAGATTCAGCACATACGTAGTACTTGTAATCTCTAAGCCATTTCAGAGCCACTGATCCTAAGTGGTATAGCCGTTGTTGATTAACTTAAATGGTTCCTGTGCTCAGATAAAAGCAGTCTAGATAAGGCAGTCTAGACCTGTCAGAACTATCAATAAGTTATGAAGTCCAGACTGATAAAGTACTTACTTTTCTGAGGGAGATGGAAAATTGATTCAGTTGTCCTTTCCAAATACATTTTGAAAAAGTAGTTACTTAAAATTGCTATGCTTTACTTTTAAAGAACTAATTTTCCCAAAGGAAATGTTTGAGAAATTAGGAGTGGTTTGTTTCATTTTAATAAGGCATCTAGAAACTTTTTTTTTTCATCACTGTGTAGTGCTGGCTAGCCTAGAACTGGCTATGTAGACCAAGCTGGCCTGGAACTTACCAACATCCCCCTGCCTCCAAGATTAAAGGCATGTGCCGTGATGCCCAGCTTTTTATGATTTTGGTTTCCTCCTCTAATGAAATCTGCATTTGTTTCACGGCGGAAGGCAGCAAATAAACTTCCAGCTCATCTTCTAAGAGTCTGTGGTGAGGGATCTTAAGGAAATTAGTGTTGAAACAGCCGTGTAATCGATCCAAGTCCCTTGAATAAGCCTTTGGTTTTCAGTGAGTTGGGTTGTTCTTCCTCCCACCAACCGTTGTTCTGCAGACACTCCCAGATCAGAGGTTCCCCAGAATGAGTCAGTGAAGGGGGCTTAGTTAACAATGGTGCTGCCCTTATGTGCCCTTAATTGCCTGATTGCACTTCTGCTAAGTTTGCTAAAGCAGGAGCCCACGTTTTAGAACTTTTTCTGTATTTCAAATGGGATCGTCTGTGTATACCCATCTTTTCTGGGTTGGCTGAAAGAGGATGTCAGTGGCACTCTGGAGCGCATTAGCTCATCTCTTTGCCCCCCTCCCCCACACACAACCCAGGCTCCTTCTGCAGTAAGTCTCCCTGCACAGTGGAGAGTGTGGAGTGTACCTGTGAGGGTTTGGGCCTGGAAGTAACCGGTATAGGCCACACCCCTGGGCCAGTCCTTAAGGGGTTGAAAAAAGAGCCAGTCACCCGGCAGTCAGGGATTGTGTGGGTTATTCAGATTTGTTTGCTTGTTGTAGGCCCTGTCAGAACTTTCACAGCACACAGGACACTGATAATCCCCAAGAGCTGAAGATCCTGGTGATCACAACAGCAGCAAGCACTGCTTGAGTTCCTCGAACAGACCAGGAGCTGATATGAACTTGTGACAAGAATTAATTCACTGTGCTTACATAACCCTAACAGGACTACTGTAGGACAAACCCCATTTTCCAAATGAGGGAGCCTGCTCACTCAGGTTAGCTTGGTCAGGGTTGCATAGGCAGACTGGCTCCGCCTTCCATACTTAACAGGAACATGGACTCGCACTGCAGGCAGAGCTAAATTGGGGTTAGCCAGGTCCCTAAGCAGCCACGGGGAGATGAAGTAGAAACACAAAGGACTGAATCTGAAGGCTGCCGTCCCCAGCCTTCCAGTGTGTTAAACCTAGCGTGGGCTTCCTGTTCCTCACCACCAGATCTGCCTTCTTGTCATCTTCCTGGTCTCTCTCCTGCAACTACAATCAATCCTATATCCTACATGCACACTGGTCATCTCCCTTTGCTGTTTCCATTAAATTCCAGGAGAAACAAACAAAACAAACAAAAACCCCACAATATCCCATTTCCTTCACCTTGGATCCTAACCTCTGCCTGGGTTGAGATCAGCTTTGGAACTTGATCCAAGTGCACATTGCCAGACCCAGCCCAGACCCGCTGAGTTGAGCTTTCTGGGCTGGGGCCTGGAAAGATCATCTTACACTAGCAGGCTGCCCAGGGAGGTTCTTACCAACCAGGCTAGGGAGCTAAGCACAGTGATAGCTGCATATGACACCTGCTTTTCTGTCCCTCACTTTGGGCTGTATGTTCCCCCCATGAGGCTGGCACAGCTGGCTCACCTCCTTTCTACAGCACCTCACAAATTTTCTGCATCCAGTCCGCACTTAACAGCTATTCTGAATGCATGTGTGAGTAGATTCCAAGACACGCTCTCTTTTGAGCGGCTTTTAGATGATTTAAGAGGATTGCTTAAAACAGGTTTCCTCCAAGCTGTGTATTAATGCGGAACTTTAGTAGTCCTAGGTACAAAGAGACAGTAGTATCTCAGCCACCCTCCCTACCCTGCGGCTGTATTTCTGTCTCTCCAAGAGATGGCAGACCTGTCAGGCAGCATGGGTAATGATCCGCTGAGGAGTGCTGGCCTTCTGCTCATTTATAGAGCACTGCTGGGGATCTGGCCAACAGGGAGCGTCCCAGATACCTGCCTGGTTGCTATTGCCTGAGGTTGAGGGAGCAGAGTAAAGGTAGCGCTGATCTTGAAGTTACCGGCCAGTTAATAAGTCTGTATCGTGCCGGGCATCACTGTGAAGTACTCAGGGCAAGAATCAAGGTTGCCTCTGCCTAGGGAATGAAGCAGGACAGTGTCACCCCACAGAGCAAGAAGTGGGAAAGATGGGTATGTAACCGATCTGGGTGCAGAAGGTGGTGTTTCCAGAGGAAGAGAAAAGGGGCACAGATAGAGCCCGGGAAGTCAGGTCAAAGGGCATTGGCCCCAAGGCCCTCAGCCTTTTAGGAAACAGACTTGGAAAACGGGCCTCGGGGCTTTACCACCTTCCAGCAAGCTTGGCGAGTTAACAAAAAAAGGGTTTGGTTCCATGCTTTCAAAGCCGAAGACAAGGATGTTAAGATAATCTGTTGCTATCCTCAGAACTCCTTCAGGTCCTTCTGTTGGCATGGTCGCTCCGAGGTTACTCAGCGCCATCAAGCTACCCTCTGAGGGGCCATCACTTCTGCTGAAAAGAGGAAAAGGTTCCCAAAGAGTTTTCAGCGCCGGGTTACTAGCTGGCTGTCCCTCTGTGGCCCTGAAAGTCCATCCATCTGTAGCACTTACAGAGACAATGATGGGGACTTCCTTATCACCTGGGATGTCTCGCTCCATGCCCATCTCATGGTTCTTCTGAAATGGTTTGACTCCAACCATAGCAATGTGTTATGAGAGTGGTTTGCTGAAGGTCTTCGTTTTAAATTAAAAACGTCAGTTAATGAGACCAGGGCAATGGCTCATTAGCAGTGTAAGCACTGGCCACACACTGGAGTTTGAATCCCCAGAACCCACGTGACTATCAGGTGGACATGGTGGTCCACTTTGCCATTCCAGTGGTCAGAAAGTGATAGGATTACCACATAACCCGGCCAGTCAGACGAGCCGTATTGGCGAGCTCTGGGTTCAATTGAGAGACCATGCCTCAATGAATAAGGAGGAAAATGACTATGGAAGACTGGTATGTCAGCCTCAGGCCTATGTATGTGTACCCTGAGGAGAGAGAGAGAGAGAGAGAGAGAGATAAATGGGAGGAGCCCCATTTAGTTCACAGGCCTTCTTACCAGAGGACAGGCCCAGGCCTACTGCTTCTGTGACATTGGTCTTCAGTCATTTATAGAGATCTTCTTGTCTTGTTGGTCGTTAACCTTTACTATAACCATATGACAAAAACATTCCATGCTATGACCCAAGGCCTCTTGGTTATATGCAACCAGCTGAGAGCAGACTCTAACCAGTTGTTGTACTTTCTTCAGCTTCCTAAAAGAAGAAAAGGGCTGGGGAGATGACTCAGGGGGTGCCATGTTTGCTGTGCAAGCACAAGGACCCAAGTTCAGATCCAGCGGCATGTTTCTGTACCTGGTATGAGTGACAGGACCCCTGGTTTGCTGCCTGGTCTGCCTCAATCAAATGGCAAGCCAAAATCAGTGACACCTTACCTCAGAAAATGAGGCGAGAGGTAAAAATGGAGATGCCCAGAGTTAACCCCTGGCCCCCACACGCCACATGCACAGGAAAGTGTGCACACGAAGGGGGCGGGGTGTATATGAAGTCTTTGTTAGGTCCCAGGTGCTATATCTTGCACGCTACATGGCTTCATCCAGCTTTCTCCTGGCCTGTTCCTCATAGTCACCTAAGCCTTGTTTCTAACAGGAACCTTTTGATCGCTTCCCTCTGAGCAGCCTTGCCAGGCCACAGAGGAAGAGGATCCAGGCAGTCCTGCTGATAGGCTAGGATCAGATGGTAGGGGAGGAGGGCTCCCCCTTTCTGTGGTCTAGGGGAAGGGGATGGAGGAAGAGGGAGGAAGGGTGGGACCTATAGAAGACGAGGGAAGGGGCTGCAATCGGGATATAAAGTGAATAAATTTTTAAAAAATAAATAAAAAAACATTGTCTGCGGATGGTATCAGGGGCTGACTCAGAAAATAGTCTTCATAACCTAGAATGCTGAACACCAAATGCTTTGGTCCCCATAGGTGTGTAGATATGGCCTGTGATACTCCAAATAAATGGGATGTGATGTGCTTTCTCCCCAGATCGGCCATGGATTTGGAACATTCCTTATGTCAAAGCACCTGATACACATGGGAACATGTGGGTGCCCTCCTGAGATGAGGTGCTGTGAAACTTGAGTGCAAGACGTTGGCTGTTCCTGTTTCTACTGACTGGTCACCTCCCATAGAATCTTGAACCCATACAAAACTCTTGGCAAAAGTCAATGTCAGTTAGGTGTCTGATGGTCACTGTCAGCATTCTTATTTAAAAAGAGCTATTATTTTCTTACTTCACTTTTGTATGTTCTTGAAATCAAGCTATTAAACTTCATAGTGTTTCAAAATGTCCACATGCCTGGAATGAAATTACCAATTCCCAGCTGGCGTGCAGAAAACCAGGCATGGTGGCAGTTCGCCTGTAGCCCTGCATGGGTGACGGGATCCCCGAGTTCCGCTGGCCAGCCAGCCTAGCCCAGGCGGTAGGCTCCAGGTTCAGGGATGGCACCAGCTTTCCAGATCGGAGTTTGTCCAGAGATCCTTCCTTCACCTGCTCAGGAGCAGGATCATCTGTTGTCTCCACCCTCGAAATTTTCAATCTCCCTGGACCCCAGGAACCAACCTACCATGGAAGGAGGCTAGACACCGCTGCACTGGCAGCAGAAGCCCCAAACCAAGATACCTCTGCTCCCTGTGCACTGGTCCTCCAGCTGCAAGACTTAAGTGATGGTGGTGCTACTGCACCGCCAGCACCTGGAAGGCGAGTGTGGGGCTTGGGGCCCAAACGCAGAACAGGCACAGGCTGAGAGGGTGTCAGGCTGCCCTCCCACTCCTGCACCAATCATTACAGTGATCCTCACGTTCCTGACCTGCTTTGTCAGGAACACTCCTAGTCACACTCCTCTAGACCGGCAGGGGCCCTGGAGGCCCACCTGAAAGAGGTTCTGTAGAGTGGCCCAGGAAAATGCACAGAGGTAACATCAGAGACCATCTGCACTCAAGAGGTTTGCACTCCAGCTGTCTGCAAACCCGTGTCCCCCTCAGGAGCCTGGGCTCTGCAAGGAGCAGATCTGAACCGAGCTCCACACACTTTCTAGACATAGTTGCTAACACACATAGGAAGTGATGAATAAGTGAGAACACGTGGGTTACGAAAGCCGATCAAAGATGCTCCACAGACCATGCTGCTCGTATTTCTGGGGAGATTATTCTTCATTAGTCACAGGATTCTGCTCAGCTTCGCCAGCTGAAGCAGCCCCTGTGTGAAGCATAGTGACCCCTTCTCGCCTTTGTCCCCACCTCCTCTCACTGTGAGGTCTCTCGGGAGCACTGTGCAGTGACTTCCTCTACCTGCTGATGACGGGCACCATGTGAATCAGCCAACTTCTGCTTCTCTGTAGCTGCCAACAAGTCTGATCAGGAGAGCGTCCACATGTGAACGCAAAAAAACAGAATTAGGCTCTGTTTCCACATGACAGAACAGGCCATGTTTGCTGAGGTCCCCTCTGTTTCCTGTGCTTAAGCCTCCATTCTGCAGATGAGGAACCCGAGCCTCAGGGGAGTTAACAGCAGGATGTCTGACATGACTCAATTCTGTCCTTCACACTCCACACCACACCCTGCCACACAGCAAGCTCTGTTTTCCTGTTCTGCAGTAGATGTTAGATAGTTTCCCTGAATAGAAATTCCAATGTTGTACAACTTTCAGGTGAATCTAGCTTATGCACAAGACTCGGTGTGCTTAGAATCAGCATGGACTGATTTTGCCATGTCTTTTTTCTTCGCACAAAGTTGATTTTCTAAGCCATTTTGAATGAATGATCTAGGTGTTTTTTTAAGGGTTATTTTTATTTATGTATCCATGTGAGTCTGTGTCACACCTATGTGTCGGGTGCTTGTGGAGGTCAGAAGAGGACACTGGAGCCCGAGGACGTGGAGTTCCAGGGGGCTGTAAGCTCCCAGACATGGCTCCTGGGAACTGAACTCCAGCCCTCTACAAGCACGGTCATGCCCTTAACCCTGCCACTTCATTACCAGAGAATTACAGCTGTAATGCCTTCCTTGAGATCTCAAGAAAGAACTTGAGAACATATGCCTTTGACTGAAAAACACCTCGAAATGGAGGTTTGCATGGGCATTCTTTATTTACATTCATGGGATGGCAGTTATATTGAGGAATTGATAAGGATTGCAAAATGATACAAGTCTACATAAAAACTCAATCACTGATAGGAATAATATCGCTTAACTGTAATAATAATGATGAATCTAAAGTTCTATTGATTATATGCTAAAAGCATGATGTGCCTAGGTCGATCCAATTACCAAAAAAAAGGGGGGGAGGGCTTGGAAATTCTAGTGGCTTTCTTGTTTTAAGCAATAATCTCAGACAAGAGAGTACTGCAAACTACCATTTTTTTTCTTTTAAGTAAAGTTTTATTTTAACTCACAGGAAGCTGTACTTAACTACCGTTTCTTTTTATATTTCTGTCAAGTAGTATGCTCTGATTCAGATGCATTGCTCATATAGGAGTCACACGCATGCCATTTGCTCCTTGAAAATGCCTATAGTGTGACCCAGCTGGCGGCCATCTGAGCCCAGGTGTGCGCGCTGGTACTGAGCTTTGCCAGCCACTGGGCTCTGACTTCCCGGAACTCTTACCTGTGTTTCATCCAACCTTCCTAGTGGCCCTATCAAAGAGCCTCTCCAATCCTTATTTATAGGCAGAAAAACCAAGCAGATCATTCATCAAAAAAAAAGTCACATAGCTGGGATTTGAACCCAGGCGTTGTAGTTCCTGTGCCCTGTTCTGTGGCCAGGCAGCAACTGTGACAGGTGTTCCGTGCGCCAGCCACGGACAGGCTTTGTATACATGAGATTTAACTATAGATACAAGACTGTGCTTCCATCCACTGTAATAACAAATTACGGTTGGCAGGACAGAACCAGCTAGCAGCACATAAACCCAAACACTAAATGCCACATTAGTATGCAGGCCTCAGTCGCTGAATAACTTAAAGTCAGCCCTCGCTTCCTGCCGAGCGGGCTCCTCGCTGGTTAGAGTGTGGAGGAGCTGGAAACTGCACTGCTGAGTTTGTTCTGTTATATTCTCTGGCTGAAGCCTGCTGCTTCTACCGACTTCCTAGAGCCAAGTACAAGGCAGGAAAAATTATGCCAGATGCTGGAGAGAGAGAGAGCAAAAGGCAGCCCAACAAATTAGGTCCCAGGGTGCTTACTAGCAAGCGCAATGACACTCAAATGGGAGGGAAAGCTTTCGAAGCCTCAACATTAAATCTGAATCCCATGGTTTACAGTGTTCAAAGCAGTGTATCTCAAACCAGGACCCTGCTAGTGCATGAAAGCAACCCTTCTCTTTAGACAGTGAGAAACTCCATTGGAACCAGGCAGACAAAACACAAGTTGCTGGAGGCCCTGTTTTGTATTTGCCTTATAGCAACGTTTTCAAAGAGTTTTCTTGCTATTTATAAAATGGGAATCAAACTCCTTTTCCGTACTCATGACTAAGAAGATGCTCAGGGTAAAAGGGCAGCGGAGAAACGCTGGCCGTAAGGCATTGGTTGTGGGTTGGTTTGATCATGGCTGACTATATACACATCCACACCGGGGAACAGGTGAGTTTCTCTTCAGTGCATTAGAGGGCCATAAAAGGTTCAAAGTCACCCAGTTAGCTAGTGAACAAGGGCTGTGCCTCATCTCTGGTGCTGGCTCTGTCCTGGCCAAGCCAGCATGTGGCCCTTTCTGTGCTCAAGGACATAGATGATGTCATGGTATGTGCCTTGCATGGCTGTTTGTTCTGAGGTCCTTTAGAAATTATGACAGTTGAATGCTGATTGTGTTCAGATAATTGAGTTTGCTGTAATTTAGAAGTCTTTATAATCAGCCGCCATTCTGTACCCTTTTTTCAACATTTTAATGAAAGGATACAACAGTCAGGATTCTTCCATAGCTACAGAAATGGGGCTAATGAGTCTCCAGCATTAAGAGAGGCTTGTACTGAGATTCAGTGAGGGCACCGGAGCCAGAGGATCCACAATACGATGAAGACTGTCCAGGCTTGAGCTCTGCCCTCTAGAATCTGGTCATCATCCCACAAAAGCTCTTTCCACCTGAAGGCTGAGATAACCCCAGAATCCCATCTTCCTTCAGCTAGCCCTTCCAGAGAAAAGAAACTATTTCCCATTTCCCAGACAGCGCCAGCCAGAGGCCTGGATGCCCCAGTTGACCAGCTTGAGCCCCAAGTACACTCTGAATTGCAGATGCATGTAACCCAGACAGACCCCAGGGTGGGAAAGAGCAGGAGAGATTGCCAGAGACAAATGGAAAACATGGTGCCGATTCCAAGCAAGAAGTATTAACACTGCACTGATGAGCCTTTTCTATGTCTGCTCCTCAAACTGTACTGTGTGGGGTGTTTTAAAAAATCGAAGTTTCTGAAAAGCTGCATAAGTAGATAAGCCCTGTATAACCTGAACGTTCTAGAACTAACTTTTCAAACTGAGGATGACAACCCATGGTGAATCATGAAATCCCTGTTAATGAAGTCGGGAGGTCACAGCCAGCACTTTTGGATGAGATGGAGTAAAAGAAAGGTGTGTGTGTGTGTATATATATATATATATATATATATATATATATCATAGACAGGGTGGTTAGTTTTTGTTTATTTGTTTTTATTTACATACCTGAGAATTTACAGGATTCCAGTGTAAAATGTATTCCTTTCTAGGTTTGCTGGCTCATCCAGCCTGAGTGGGTAGTCACCCCAGTTAAGGCTTGGAGAGTGACTCAGCTTCAAGGCAGTGGAGACTCATTAGAATTGTCCAGCTCTGTCCCTCCAAGCCGTGAGATGTTAGGCAAGTTCTCTAATGCCCACAATCTCTTGTTCCATCTGTAAAGAAGGGCCAATACCCCCGGGGGATTATAAGGACAGGTGGAATGGTACCCTGAGCAGTGATAAGAACTCCATTCTGTCCATGTCGGTGGTATGCAAGCCTGGGCTGAGCAGCCTCTGGGACCCTTAGAATGGAGCAAGCAGCACAGAAAACGAAACCCATTCCCCCTAGAAGCCACCACTCTTCCATACCACTGCTTCCAGACTCCTGAACCCTGCTTGCTTCTGGAAGATAGGTAGATTTAAGAGTCCCCCATGCTGCAGTGGCCACAGGACCTTTGGATCCCCTGAGTAGGGCATCCATGGGAAAGCTTGCCTCCAGGCTCAGCCTTGGAAGCTGCTGGGGTCAGCATGCTCATTGGCTAGAACAAGAGGCAGCAGTGAATTGATGGTTAGTGAAGAGGAAGAAAGTAGACGTGAGGACCTAAAGAGAGCAATGGGTTAAAAGCAAATGGATTGGAAATGGTATTACGCAAATGCCAGGCATAAGAAGGCTGTCGTGATTGGATTGGTGTCACATAAAGGCCTCCGGAAGGCCTTCTACATAAATAAAAGGCCGCTACATGAAGAGACAAATGTATATGCGGTTTCCGAATGCTTGAAATGACACAATGGTAGCTGGTGCTTTTCAATATCCCTATTTTGCCAATGCACAGGATTAACTAGAACAAAAAGAGGAGCTTAAAATGCACTCATAGAGACCTTTACCAAACTGAAGTAGTCAGAGCCCTGTACACCTACAGCAGAGGCAGGCAGATCTCTGAATTTGAGGCCAGCCTGATCTACAAAGAGAGTGTCAGGACAGCCAGAACTACACAGAGAAACGCTGTCTCGAAAAACAAAGTCTCTGAGTACACTAGAAAGAAGTATTTTTTATTGAAAATTAAGCAAAATACTTGTTTATGACTCACAAACCAAAGGAAAAATATGTTAGCAAAATATGAAAATACTACATCCCCGTAAATATTGACAGTGCAGGTAGCATTGAGCTAACAGAAAAAGCCTTAAAGTAGAAGAAATTGTTAGTGAAAAAGAGTCTATCACAGAAGAGGAGGTAAGAAGATTGAAAGAACCAGAGGAACATTTGCCAAGCATGCTGGCACAATTGGACACATGAACTCACCGTGCCTGGGACCACAAGGAGAAGACTTGCACAAGACCACGCCAGCCAAAATCCCAGCATGGACGGGAGAGAAGCTCACGGAGCTCTCCCCCTGTCTGAGGAGCTAGGGGAAGGAATGTGGTTTTCTTCAGGGTTGGAGCTCCTGAGTCTACCCATACTCCAGGACATACATGGTCCCATGCCATGTACATACAGGCACCCCTGAATGGGCACGTGTGTGTGTGTGTGTGTGTGTGTGTGTGTGTGTGTGTGTGTGTATTTAAGAGCACATGAAGTTGGGAGGGAAAAGTGGTGGAGGGTTGGGGGTTGATTTAGTCCAAACTATACACAGTTATGAATATTAAAAGACTTTTAAAGTAAGGCGCTAAAGTCAGTGATCTAGCCACCCCACCATAAGTTCCTAGGGGGAAAAAAAAACAGCAAATGTAAAGAAAAATAAAAACAAAAATGGAATGCAATACCAAGAAGAATTTATCTCAAAAATGCCGTGCTTTTAAATATCCATACTTTGTATAGTTTATCCTTAACTAAAAAGAATAACAAATTGATGAAATCCAACATATTAACAGAATGAAGAAAACATAAGATTATTGTAGATACAGAGAAAGCATTTGACAAAATTCAGCAAACATCTGCTTTACTTTTTTTTAAGAGAGGGAAAGAAAAGAACTTCAGAAAACTAGGAATAAAGAGAAGTGTCTTCGACTTCAAAAAGAGCATCTGTGGCAGGGCATGGCAGCACACCTTTAATGCCAGCACTCGGGAGGCAGAAGCAAGCGGATCTCTGAGTTTGAGATCAGCCTGGTCTACAGAGTGAGTCCTAGAACATCCAAGGCTACATGGAGAAACCCTGTCTTTTTTTTGGGGGGGTGGGGGGGAGTAGTGGAGGGGTCCATCTATGGCAATCACACAGTTCACAGCGTCTGTAACAGCAAACTGAAGGAGTCCCTCTTAGCTCTAACAAGAAAAATAACCTGCTTCCAGCTCTTCTGTGTCTTGTTACTTCTTAGACATTGTAATAAGACAGGATTTTTTTTTTTAGGTGAAGAGTGGGAGGAAGGATAGAAGGAGCTAGAGGGATCAAGGACAACACAAAAAGACCCACAGAGCAAACTAACCTGGGTCCATGGGGGCTCACAGAGACTGAACCACCAACCAAAGAGCATCCATGGACTGGACCGAGACCCCCTACACATATGTGGCAGATAACACATCATGGTCAACATGGGGGTCCCCTAACAATGGGGGTAGGGGCTGCCTCAGCCTGTTGTCTGCCACTGGATCCCCTCCCCCTAACTGGGCTGCCTTGTCAGGCCCCAGGGGGAGGGGATATGCTTAGTTCTGCTGCAGTTTGAGGTGCCAGGGTGGGTTGATACTCTTTGGGGACCTCCCTTCTCTGAAAAGGAGAGGAGGGAATGAGAGGAGGTAGGACTGGGAGGAGGGAGGAAGGGGGCTAGGATCAGGCTGTAAAGTGGTTAAATTAAATAAATAAATAAATGAAGAAAGTAAACCTCTGCTTCAGATGACATGGAAGTTATGTACATGGAAGCTCCTAAAGAACCAATACAACTCATAAATGAGTGCAGCAAGTCTATAGGATACAATAGCAAACATGAGAAGATAAAACATTTGAATTTTTATGTTCGATACAATGAAGAGAACAAAAACTTCTTTGTGGTAGATTCACAAAAGATGTGCAAGGGCTCTGTACTGTAACAACTAGGGAGATCTTCATGTATGCAGAGATAGGACTCATCCATGAACCCTCGAAATACCACTTCGCAAAACAGGTTAACACAGTCTTAATGAAAACAATGTAGACTTTTCCTGTGTCTACTTTAAAAATGTCTAAAAACCACAGTTCTTTGGTTTAAAAATGGAAACAATTTATTACATGTAGAGAAATATTGAAAAGAAGAGTTAAATTGGAGACCTTGCATTTCATGACTTCAAGACCTATAAAATTAATTTAAATGCTTCTTAGTGGCAGAAGAGCTGGGTAAACAGATCGTGGACTCCTGGAGTAAGCGCATTCCCACTTTCCTTCTCCATAAATGGCATTAGGAAAAGTGCTTATCCTTTTGGGCAAAATGAACCTTAAGTCTCACTTGCACAATAAAGAAATTATATCACACAGACCAACTATACAAAGGAGGGGAGAGTGAAAAAAAAACAACAATAAAAACATGTACAACCTTGAAAGCAGCAAGGGTATAAAAACACAAGTGTTTATAATGCACAAGGGTATAAAACATTACAGACTGGAAATTTGGACTGTACCAAAGCTAAAAACTTTTGTCAGGCAATATTTTGAAAATCAAATGGGTATGCCAGACATGAATAAAAAAATAGTTACAAAATACATACCTAAGAAAGAACTGGTATTCTAGATACATAAAACACTACTACACTTCAATAATATGGACCAATTTGTGGTGTGTGTATGTATATATGTATGTTGTATGTTGTATGTTGTATTGTGCATATGGAAAACAGAGGTCAACACTGGGTGTCTGAGTTACTCTCTATCTTGTTTTGTGTTGCTTTGTTTTATCGAGACAGGATTTCTCTGTGTAGCCTTGGCTGTCCTGGACTCACTTTGTAGACCAGGCTGGCCTCGAACTCACAGAGATCCACCTGCCTCTACCTCCCCTAGTGCTGGGATTACAGGGCTGTGCCACCATGCCTGGCTTCTGCCTTATTTTTTGAGAAGGGGGTTCTCACTGAACCTGGAGTCACTGATTTGGCTGGGGGGGGGGGTTTTCTGGTCAGCCCCTCCTGTCCCCACCTGCCCAGGAGTGTGGGGGTTCACATATACACCACTATGCTCATCTTTTTATACATGTTTTGGGGAGCCAAATTCAGGTCCATATGTCTGTGTGATGAGCACTTTACTGACTCGGGCATCTTCCCAGTCACAAGACTTTTGGTTATTTAAGGCAGGGTTTCTCAGTGTAAACTTAGCTGTCCTGGACTCACTCTGTAGACCAGGCTGGCCTGGAACTCACAGTGATCCGCCTGCTTCTGCCTCCCAGAGTGCTGGGATTACAGGTGTGTACCACGGCACCTGGCCCAAGACTTTTTAAAATTTTTTTAAGAAGCATTACTTTATTGTTTTTAAATAAATTTTTTAATTGTTTACTTTACATCCCAATTGCAGCCCCCTCCCTTGTCTCCTCCCAGTCCCACCCTTCCTCCCTCTTCTCCCCCTATCTCCCTTCCCTAGTCCTCAGAAAGGGGAAGCCTTCTTCCCCTACCATCCGACCACAGCCTATCAGGTCTCATCAGGACTGCCTGCATCCTCTTCTGTGGTCCAAGACCAGTTTTTAAGTGGGCAAAATATTCTAACCATTTACAGAGAGATACAAAGGTCCGGTATACTAGGTATCCAGAAAACACAAAATCCCAATGAGATAAATTTATGTGCCAGTAGACCGTGGGCTTAAAACAAAAATGGCTGGTAGTGCCAAGTGTCCGTAGTTTGTGGGCACCGCATTGTGTTAGCTGATGTCAGGCAGTTCCTTTGAGAGCTAACTACATCCTTACCCATGACTCAGCAGTTCAGTGCTAGGTGTTTGCCCAGGAGATAGGAAACATACCCACAGGCAGTTGATAGGAATGTCACTTTTATTTTTTTAAAAATTGAATTCATGTTTCCTAACAGTTTTATTTACGATAATGTAGTTTTCTCACATTTCTAGTTTCAGTCACAAAGCATGAATAAGATGATGGCATAGCCAAACAATGAAGAGCCAATGAAATGATGGCTCAGACACGTATCATGGAGATGCTTCAGAAATGCTTTAGGAGAGACACATAGCTATAATTCTCATGAGTCCGGAAATGCTTTAGGAGAGACACATAGCTATAATTCTCATGAGTCTGGAGATCCAGGTTCTGTATAGGAGAAATAACCCATGGTAGAAAAAGAAACCAGGCTAGTGTTACCTCTGCAGGAATGTGGGGAGGATTTGTGGGATTTGCTGGGGAGATATTTGTGGGATCTTTGATCAGTTGGTGGCACGTAGGTGGTAAGTGAGGTAGGTCATTGTTTGGCTCGCAAAGATGTACACATTCGCCAGAATTTACCTAAGGGTACATTTGCATGTCACCGCGTGCAGATTTTACCACGAAAGCAAAACTCCGAGGATGGAACTCTTAATAATGAGCAGTACTTGGTGGAGGAGGGGTGAAAATGTGCGGACGTCTACAGCCTTTCAAAACGCAGCCTAACGGAATGGGTTGATGAATAGAAAGGGACAGGTAGGTATTTCTAATCGAGTCTAGCAAACTGTCCCTTGTAGCATCTAGAGAGCGGTGGGTGGCGTCGTAAACTCACTCGAGTTTGGGGTACTTGGAGGGATACTCCCCTCCCCCTGGGAGTGCACTCAAAGCCCTCTACAGCTCTTCCTCTCCAGGAGACGCAAAGTAAGATGAACCACCAGTTCATCAAAATCCAGAATCGTTTGCGTCTACTCAACGGATCCGCAGGCTCTTCTAGTTCTGTTTCCGGAGAGTGTCGTGGGTGGGTCTCCTGGGACCACTCTCTCCAAAGGCGGAGCAGTTCTATTTAGATCGCGGGCGGCTAGGAATCCACTCCTTCACGGGGACAGATAAGATTCGCTCCCCCGTGCAGTCAGTCATCCGTGTGGACCCGGTACCCGGCTGGGGGAGCGCGTGTTCCTAAAGGGCACGCAGCGCCCTCTTCTGGCCCCAGGGGGACCCACGCAGACCATCGAGTCTCTCGACCTCGCTTTTGAGCAACCACCCCAGGCGCCTACACACCCGGAGCGAGCAGTGCCGCTCTGCTGGAAGGTCGGCCTTCCGAGCTCCCGGCGAGCGCGGGCGGAGACGGACGCAGGAAAGCGGCCGGGGGGCCGAGAGGCGGGCAGCGGTGGGTGGAGCCGCCTCGGCGGGCAGCAGCAGGGCTTCACCTGTTGCAGGGTCTGAGCACTCCCCCGCAGAGGAGGCAGCGCGCCGGCCGCGGACTTCTGCTCCCAGCCCCGCCGGGCGGGGCAAGGCCGCTGGAGGAGCGGAGCCAGGGACCCCCCTGAACCTGTCCCGCGGAGCAGGCGCCTCTGGGGGAGGTGAGAGCCGGGCGCGGCGGCGGCTCCTGCGCCCGTGCCAAGCTGGGGGTCTCCGGGTGGGCGCCGCGGAGGTTTGCCGAAGAGCCTTGCTGCTTGCTGGCTTGCATGCTGTAGCTAGGAGCCCTCGGCCCCGAGCCGCCCACTGCGCAGGAACGACCGGAGCCGGTTGCCCGATCAGCCCCGGGTGCAAGAGATGGAACTCGACCGGCCGCCCTCCCGGGCCGGCTGCCCCGGAGACGGGCTGGCAGGGCCGGCACGTGGCGACAGAGGACGGCCAGCGCGGGGCCTAGGGGCCGAGGGCGCTCTGGTCAGGGGGAAGTCGAGGAAGGCCGCCGGGGAGGATGCGCCTAACTTCCTCCGCTGTTCTAACCCCCTCCTCTGCTCTCCTCCCTACAGCGGTCCGCCCTCGCGCTGTCGCCCAGCCTGCGTGCGTGCCCGGCGGAGATCCGGGCTGCCGGATCTGCCCCTTCGCCCCGCGCCGGCTGCGTCTCTGTGCCTGCCCCGAACCGGTTCGAAGCCTCGGGGGTTCCGGAGCACGGAGGCCCGGCGGGACCTTGTCGCCAACACGCAGCACAGATCCACCCCCCCGGAGGGGCAGCGAGGGCCGAAGGCAGCGGGCAGCCCTCATCCCGGCCATCACCGCCTGGAAAGCGATGGTCCGGGGAAGCTGGACCTCGATGCCCAGCCCCCGCTCCGCTCCTCTCCGGACCCAGCACCTTCTCTCAAGATGAGCTCAAGTCCTCCGGAGTTTGCCCGGAAGGCGCGCCACGCCCCCTCCCCGGCCTGAGCACCGGAGCAGCCGGGGTGAACCCGGGGCGCCCCGCACCCCCCCCCGCACCCTAAGCGGACCCCGCGCCCCGACTCCTCGCTCTTCAGCTTTAAGGAGAGCTCCAGGACGGACGGGGAGGCGGCGGCGGCGACAAAGCGGATTCGAAAGCACGCGTCCGGGGCGGCCGTGGGGAGCCGGCGGCGCGGGACCGGCCGCCCCACGCCGCGTCGGGGGAGCGCGCCGGGCATGGGCGAGCCGGGCCGGGGAGCCGGTTGAGGGGCGGCGGGGCGGCGTCCTCCCGGGGGTGCGGGCACGGGCCCCCTCCCCCCCGCGGGGTGGCCCTCCGCTGCCATGGCCGGCCGAGCCTGCGGCCACCTGAACGAGGACAACGCGCGCTTCCTGCTGCTGGCCGGGCTCATCGTGCTCTACCTGCTGGCCGGCGCCGCCGTCTTCTCCGCGCTGGAGCTGGCTCACGAGCTGCAGGCCAAGCAGCGCTGGGAGGAGCGCCTGGCCGACTTCAGCCGCGGCCACAACCTGAGCCGCGAAGAGCTGCGGGGCTTCCTCCGCCACTACGAGGAAGCCACCAGGGCGGGCGTCCGCGTGGACAGCGTGCGCCCTCGCTGGGACTTCACGGGCGCCTTTTACTTCGTGGGCACGGTGGTCTCCACCATAGGTAAGTGAGCCCCGTGGCCACTCCTGGGCTCTCCTCGCTGGGCCCTCGCAGGGCTGGTTCTCCGCTAGGGCGCCGGCGTGGCACCGAGGCGTCCCTTCGGGGCTGAGCAACAGGTGTGACTGAATCCCAACCCCACCCGGGAGCTTATTAGAATCGCCAGGGACCTCTGCCCAGACCACAGCCAGCTACTGTTCGTTAGCCAGGCTCCAGGAAATTGAATGCTTCTCGGATTGGGGAAGCGCTTTGATTGCCAGAGTGTCTGGTTTAGGAGACAGAGCTGAGTTGGTGAATTCTGTGGGGAGAGCTGACACGGAGACGGAAAGCTGGGTGTTGGCTGGGCACAAACCATTGCTCAAAGGAAATCCCACGATTTCAAACTTACGGAGAGACACTAAGAATTCTAAACTGGAAGGAGGCAGAGACGTGAAACACACTTCTCAAAGATCGGGATGTATTTTCTGCGGGAAGAACGAGGGGGAAAAGCGACCTTGGCTCTAGCCAGCTTGAGTTCCTGTGATTTGGACTAGGGAGTGAAAGGGCACCCAGCGCATTCTGGGGCAGAGGTGGCTTGCATCCACAAGTCCCTGAGCCTACTGAGGACTGAGCGTGGCCTAGGGGAAGAACCGCTAGGAAGGATGAGCTGGGGCGGGGATGGGAAGTTAGAACTGAGAAGCTGAGCTCCTGAGCAATGTTGAGAACGGTAGAGCGGGTGATGCCATCACTAATGCCTTTATTTCCCGGCAGACGGAGACGGGAAATGGAGGATTTGTGCAGGAAACCCCCAAGGCTGTTCACTGTTGATGCAGAGTTGAGTGATGAATGGGCTGGAGAAAGTAATATGGAAGTTCTAGGAGAACAGGCCCGTGGTGGGGGAGGGGCCCTGAAAGGCTAGAGGAAGAAAGGAAGTGGCACAGAAGCCTCGGCGGGAGCTCCTCGTGGAGGCAGCTGCACAGTGTGTGTGTGTGTGTGTGTGTGTGTGTGTGTGTGTGTGTGTGTGTGCGCGCGCGCGCGCGCGCGTGTGCGTGTGATTTAGACATTCTGCCAGGGGAAAAGGACATTCAAACAGGAGCTTCAAGCTAGAGGCCTGATTAGTCCAGAAAGACTTCCCAAGACTTCTGCCTGCCAGCAAATGACAAGGCGAAAAGGACTTGCACGCCCAGGGAGGGACACAACAGATGTTCTCAAGGGCTTCCCTGGATGGTCCAGCTTACAAGCCCATGCCCTTCTGTTTTTTCTTTTCTTTTCTTTTTTTTAATTTCCCTCGGAGGTCCACTGTTTGTCATTTAGAAAGAGGAACGATTTTCATTTCTGCAGTTTCACATTCCAGGCGTCTCTGAGTGCTTTCTTCCCTCGCGCCTGTGCTTAGAACATCTTTTCCTCCTCCCAGATCCTGTAAGGATGAGAGGCATTGTTCAAATGCTTTCCATTTTCAGGCATGGCAGGGGTTTTGGCTGCACTTTAAGACATTTGTTTTCCGTGGGAACAATGGCAGGTGCACCTTAGAGTTCTAGCTAAGGATGTGAAGAGCAGGAGCAATATAGGCCAGTAACAGTTGGTGCCCACTCAAGGGAGGGCAAGAGGCTCATTCCTTTGAGATCTCCCTCCTAAGATTTCACCGGGGAAGCTCAGACTGGCCGTTCTGAGAAGCTGGAATCTCGTCAGTTACTCACTTCCTACCTGGAAACTTTCAGGCCTGTGGCATCAGATTCCTGGCCGGGGACAGGGCTCTCACTCTCACTACCCGGAGTTCCAGTCCGCTCCTGTGTTCACCTGGGCCGCTTGCATCTGGACTCCTTTATATGATTAGAAACTCAATGCCTTTTCTCTTTAAATCCTAAATTCTAGTCTGTTACTTCTTCCTTTCCACACCCTTCTCTGTGAAGAAGAGATGGGTTTGATGTGGTTGTAACCCAAATAATTCTTTTGGCCCAATAGCCAAAAAATGGCTCCCTTTTCAAAGAAGACTGGCCCGATAGCCAAAGTAGTGATAAACTAAATTCAGTGTTCCCTGGCCTCTTTTAAGGAAGCTTAAAATTGTCCTGTGACACAAAGGAAATGCCTTTCTTTCTTGCCTTGTGGCTCTGGGGTCTTCTGGTCTCTAAGGTCCCCCCCCAAAAAAAATCTTCCAAGGTGTGAGCCTTCTGTCTTTCTGTCTATTCAAAATTGGCATGACCTGTTCCTGTTCTCTCTTAGCTTACTCTCATTTAATCTATTACCTGGAGTTTCCAGAATACAGGAAGTTCCAGGAGGATGCCAACATCAGCCCTTCAAAGCACGGAGAGAAAGGAGCTTGTGTTCAGTGTGTGAGTGTGTGACTTCTTCAGCCTGTGGGAAGGGAACTGTGGGGTCTGGGTGCAGATGAGAAGCACCTTTCTGAAAGACACTGCTTCCTTTGGTCCCCAGCACTCTGGCCTCCCCTCCTCATACCCACGGTTTTCCCCTCTCCTGTCTCTCCCTCCAGGCGTTTTCCCAGCGCGGCCTCTTCAGCACACACGTTGCTTCTCCCCTTTATCCCGAGGGCCCTCTTTAGAAGTCTGGTTAAGCTCTTGATTGAGGGCCTTGGCCTGATCACAGCTGCATCTCTTTTATTGATCACCTCTCCTTGGGATGGATGGACCACACTGGTAGTCATTGAACCAGAGATCAGACCATGAGTGGAAATGAGTATAACGTGAGGTTCAGGGAATGGGGTGAGGTGTGGCGGTAGCTGGGCCCTGGAGAGAGCAACCCCACCATGGGCATTCCCTGTCTGATTCTAAGACCTGGCTGACCAGACAGCTGTGAGGACTTGAAGTCCCCAGATGAACTTAGGTACCATTCTGCTTTTTCCTGTCCTTTACCGTGACGTCTTATGTGCCTTCGTGATACTTCCGTGTGTTTCCATGAATGTGAAATCACATTAACTGTCCTCCAAGGGCAGAGGATACAGAACATGCGTCTCTGTACACGTTTAACTCTTACAGAAACCTGATACTGCTGGCCACGCTCTCCCATGAAAAAAGGGGGATCTCGAGGCTCAGAAAGCTTCCATGATGGGTTAGAAGCTGCTCAGCTGGAGGTGAGGTAGAGCTCCCTTGCAAGCTGACGCTTAGAACGATGCCTCATGCCTTTAGCTCCTTGGAGGCCCTTTTCGTAGGAAGAGTTGCTCCCCCCCCCCCCCGTTAGATGTCACGCCCCTTTCCTCAGCTGTGATGGCTTTTAGGAGCCCCAAATAATAAGAAATAGAGACGGTCTGGACAGCCCATTCCAGGGAAGTTGTGGTTTCCAGTGACTGGCAGTCCAAAGCAAGGTTTGAGTAAAATCTGCCATGCAGACAGAGGCGGATGCCTCCCAGCATCGTGTTTCAGAATCTTCACCAACTACACCCCCCCACACACAATTACCTGATGGTTGACAATGTCCGTCTCACTACCACTGTCCCCTAACAGATCCCAGCGTCACTCTCTGACCTTTCCTGTTAGCTCATGGCATATTGGTACTCAGGTTTTCTGTGTCTTGGGGCTTCCCTTGGATTAAGCAGCTGATGAATATCACGGTGACACTGAGCTGAGTGACTGGCCATTGAAGTGGTTTTCAAGCTCTTCTGAGTCCATGGGTTTCTCTGTGCTATGTTAATGTCACTCTTCAAGGCTAAGGGCTCCCTTCTCTTGTGATAGGATGACAGGAAGCTGCTATTGTGCGCGCATACACACATATATGCAAACACACACACAGAGAAAGAAAGAACCATTTGAATGAATGTTTATTTTAGTCAACTACCTTCTTACTGACTTAAATTTTTTGATGTAGAAAAAAATGCTTATTTAATTGACAGAGTGTTTTCCTAGTTTTTCATTATTCCCATCCTTTCCATGACTAAGACAAATATTCTCACCCATTCTCTATGTTGCTGTTTAACTCATTTCAAATGTTATTCAAAAAGATTGCTTTTTAAAGGTTCTGTGAGGTTGGCTCTATAATTATGCTTTGATTTATTGCTAAAATTATCACATAATGATCTGAGAATGCGCATGCTGAACAATTCTCTGTTTTCTTCTTTGAGCATTGCTTTGTGTCCCGGAACCTGTATACATTCCAGCCAGTTTTCCTTGTGTGTCACAGATTTCTGTAGCTGGGGGGCAGGGGGGGAACATTGACCCCCAACCAGCCTTTAATTGTCATAAGCACACCAAAGACAACATTTATTTTATTTTATTTTTTTTACTGTGTTTCAGGGCATATAAACTCATCAAACTTTTTGCCAATAACTCCATCACTTGCTTAACTTTGCTTACCTTTATCAGGGTTAACCTTGCTCCCCTCCGCTTGCTTTGAATGCCAATGGCCATATTCAACATCTAAACATGGAAGTAACTGAACAAATGTTTGTTGACCTTTAAACCATTGCTCTAGTTGTAATCATGAGTAGTGTTTTTTTATTATTTAAGTAACCACTTAGCATGCTTTTGTACTTTTATTTTTAACCAGGCCTGTATTTTTCTATGTGTATGAAAACTTAGCACATTTCCTATTCGGTGTCTTTTCCTGTTTCCTTCTTCATTCTATTCATCCTAGTTTTTCTCTTCAATGTTGACTTTCTACTCTGGCAAGTGAGTTCTTCTTTGGGTCATTCTAAGTATGATCAAGACAGAACTTAACTACCTGAGGCAAAAGCCATCTCCACCACTATTCTTCATGGTTGTAGATAAGACTGAGATGCCCTTCCTGGACAATGCAGAGCCTTTGACCTTGGTTCTAACACCACTACCCCCAGCCTCCAGCCTCCCAAGTCCTTGTCTCACCTTCTTTGGGAAAATCATTCCCAGACCTTCCTAGTATCTTTTTCTCTAATAGCTGAAAGCCCATCCTTTCCTGGCCTCCTTCCAAGGACTCTCATCATCATCGTCTCTTGCCTGTCTTCTTCCTCCTCCTTCCTTTCACTGAGCTATATTCTTAATCCTTTCTGTGCTTTTATCTTGAGACAGTCTTGCAGTTGTTCAGGCTGTACTATAACTAACTGT